TCGCAGAGAGTCTTTGGATCAGTTGGGCGCCCACGATATGATGAAGAGCTGCTCGGTTGCAAACTATGGCCCTTCTTGCCTTCGTGCTCAATCGGCGCCCGCGCGATGTCGCAAACAAGAGATCGTTGGGAGCGGTGCCTTCACGTCTGGAGGTGCCTTGCGATTACAACGTTGCGATTGATTTTTGATTTGCGCGCGGGTGATCGTCTGCCGAACACTCCTGCCCGTGGCGCCGAAACGACGAGCGAGGGGCCCGAAGAGGGGCCGAAAGAAACGAGGGACGGACCAGGACCCGACAGAGCCGAGCGAAGGACCGAACCGAGCAAACAGGGACAACGAGAAAATCGAGGGCCCGAACAGACAAGCGATGCTGGCAACCCGAGCCCAAAGACGTTGACGTGCTCTTACCTCGGCCGCCTTCCGCGGAGCTTCGGCCGGCTTGCGCCGGCGGACCCGCCGCCGTTCGTCCTCCTCCTCGTCGTCCTTCTCGTCCTCCTCCTCGTCCTCCTCCTCGTCCTCCTCCTCGTCCCTCCCCCTCGTCCCTCCCTCCCTCCCTCCCTCCCGCCCGAGGTGAGACGCGCCAAAGGCGAGACCTTGCCTGGACCCCTCCAAGTGCGTTCCCGCGCGCAGGCTTTCTCGAAAATCCCACCAGCCCTCTGGGCGTAGGTGGTCTAACAGTACTGTACGTGTCCTCCTCCCTTCCAAGACCGCCCAAGGCTGGCCAAGATGTCTCCAAGAGGGCATCCGATGCTCCAAGATGACCTCCGAGATGGCTCAAGATAGCCGAGGGGAGTTCAAGATGGCCTCCATCATGCCTCCAACAAGAGTCCCAAGATGGTTCCAAATGCTCGCTGAGCCTCCCGCGGACCCCCCAAGAGGCCAACATCCTTGAAAACCATACGGGAAATCAATGATGTCTGTCTTCTCGCCGGCTCGTTTCCGATGGGCTTCCGAGGCCTCAATATGGCCCCAAGACGGCCCAACAGAGCCCCAAGAGGGGCCCTAGAGGCCTCAAGGATGCCCCAAAAGCGCCCAAGGCAGGTGACCTCCCTGTACTGTATGTGCTGTACTCCGCGGAAGAATTCGTCGATACCGAACTCCCCAAACAAAACACGGCTCAGGAGGTCCAGCCAAATTGGGCCGACGAACCGGCTTGGGTCAACAAACCCTCCTGAGCAGGGAGTTCCAAGCCACAACGATCGAGAAGCTGGGCAGGGGCCCATCTATCTTCCCACGGGACATCAAAGCAGAAAGCCCACCTGGCACCTCCCTCGTGACCTGACCCCCATTCCGCGTAGCCAGCGGTCCTTTGTGGGCGGGTGCTCTGGACACTGGGCGGACAAGGAGAGGACGCCGGACCAGGCGTAGCCTAGACAACTCAGGACGCACCCAGTCCCACCAGCCATCCCCACGCCACTCATCCATACAGTTGCGTTGCAAGGGTTGTGTCCCTGGAGCCCCATGGGGAGCGTCGTCTCGTTCAGGGTATCCACGGAGTGCGTGTGATGCATATGGGCAGTGTCCAGAAACACAGGCACCTCGACACCGATACTGGGAGCGTCCGACTTAGCTCCCAGTCTGTGACGGCGGCGGCTGATCTTAGGCGTAGCAGCCCGGTTGGCCTTCGAGTGGCACCAGGCCCACACTCGGGGGCCGTCGGGAAAGCCGTCGACTCGGCCCAACTGTTAGCGGCCATGGGCACATTTTGCGTCTCCGCCCAGCTGGCGAAGTCAGCCTGAAGATCAACGGGCTCCTGGAATATGTCACAACTCTCGGCCGACATCGGGTGCAGAGCAGCACCTCGCTTGGCAGAACGGTCGGCATGGTTGCTGCCTAACCTCTCAAATTACGACATCGTATCTAGTTGCCTGGCCCTTGGTCTTGTGTACCAACAGAGCATCCTCAAAAATATGCCGAATACTGGCCCACACGTGGGCCGCTGGTCTTGAGACGAGCAACCCTTTGCCCTACCCCAGACACACCACAAGGTCCCTAGACAGTCCGTGAAAAACTTTGGGTCTCCGAACGGATCGACTAGCACAGCCGCCATCATGTACGCATAATATGCACCACACCTGGCTTGCTGTCTGGGAGCAAACTCGCGGAGGCTCCGCCCTGATCAGGTGACCTTCCTCCTTCCTCCTTCACATCTTCCTCCCCCTCCCGCTCCCCCTCATCCTCGGACTTGGGCCTGGACTGCGGGCCTCGTCCCGCTCCTCCTCGCCCTCCCCTTCCCCCTTATCCTCATCCTCCTCATCTTAGTATGTTTGTCTTATTAGTCTTCTTATGAGTCGTATGAGTATGTTTCGTAGGTCTAGTATTGGTATTAGCGTTATCATTCGTCTTAATGTTATTCGTACTAATACGATTGAAATTCCAATTATATGTCCTACTGATAGAAGTATTCGTCGTATGGTTAGTATTCCTAGAAGTCGTCTTCGTATTACTTATGAGTCCCTTCTTTCTCGTATGATTAGTACGCTTATTCTATGCTTTTTTAGTATTCGCATTATTCGTGTTCTTCTTAAGTGTCATTTGCTTCCCCTTCCTCCTCCTCCTCCTCCTCCTCCTCCTCCTGCTGCTCCTCCTCCCCCTCATCCTCCTCCTCCTTCTCCACCTCCTACTCCTCCTCCTCCTGCTTCTCCTCCTCCTTCTCCTTCTCCTTCTCCTCCTCCGCCTCTTCCTCCTCCTCCTCCTCCTGCTGCTCCTCCTCCTCCTCCTCCTCCTCCTCCTCCTTCTCCTCCTCCCATTCCTCCTCCTCCCTCCTCTGTCTAATTATCTTCCTCCTCCTCTTCCTCCTCCTTCTCCTCTTCCTCTCCCACCTCCTCCTCCTCTTCATATTATTCATATAATCAGTAACAGTATTAGCATCAGTATTGGCATTACTGATATTCTTAGTGTTATAGGTACTGTAAGTGTTCGAGCTACTATTCGTAGTAGTAGTAGTAGTAGTAGTAGTAGTAGTAGTAGTGGTAGTAGTAGTAGTAGTAGTAGTAGGAGTAGTAGTAATAGTAATAGTAGTAGTAGTAGTAGTAATAGTAGCATGAGTATGGTGATGATGATGAGTATTAGTAGTAGTGTCATTAATAGCAGCAGTATCGTTATTAGTATGAATATTAGTAGTGCGACTAGTGCTAGTATGTGTAGCGTTGCTATTCGTATTATACTTGTTTCATTAGTACTGATACTATCAGTCTGATTGGTGTTGCTATTACTATGATTATGCGTAGTACCATTAGTGTTGTTATTAGCCGCAGTAATAGGATTATCAGTAGTAGTCGTAGTAGTAGTGGTAGTAGTAGTAGTAGCTGTAGTAGTAGTAGTAGTACTTTCAGTAGCAATAACACCCTTAGTAATTTGATTACTACCACGATTACTGTTAGAATTAGTAGTAGTAGTAGTAGTGCCATGAGTAGTACTAGTAGTATGACTAGTATTAGTAATACCATGTATACGATCATTACCAGTATTAGTAGTAGAGTATGCATCGTATTACTAGGATTAGTATCAGTATGACAATGGTGATTACTAGTAGTTACCGCAGTATTGGTATGTTCAATATTGTTAGTGATGCGAAAAACTACCAGCAACCTTAATAGTAGCATTGCAGTATTAAGTATTAGTATGATTCGTCTTAATACTAGTAGTCTGATTAGTGCTATTAACTGCATATTCTTAAAAGTGTGAAATCGCAGTATTACTAGTACTACAATGATTCATAATGATATAATAAAAAACATGGTTATTATTACGGATATTCTCAATAAAAACTATTATCGCTACGATCCTTAATACTTATAATAATACTATTCCTCCTCCTCCTCCTCCTCCTCCTCCTCCTCTTCCTCCTCTCCTTCCTCCTACTCATCTTCCTCCTCCTCCTCCTCCTCCTCCCCCGCCTCCCCCTCCTCCTCCACCTCCACTTGAGACCAAAGAAAGGCTGTTATACCTGAACACTTCGGGGAGCGCAATCCCCCACCTCCTCCTCTTCCTCCTCCTCTTCTCCTCCTCCTCCTCTTCCTCCCTTTCCTCCTTCTCCTCCTCCTCTTCCTCCTCCTTCTCCTCCTCCCCCTCCTCCTCATCCTCCTCCTCCTCGCCCTCCTCCTCATCCTCCTCCCTCATCCTCCTCATCTCCACATCCACCTCCCCATCCTCCTCATCCTCCCTCCTCCTTCTCCTCCTCTTCCTCCTCCTCCCTCCTCCTCATCTTCCTCCTCCAGCTCCTCCTCCTCCTCGTCCTCCTGCTCCTCATCCTCCTCCTCCTCCTCCTCCTCCTCCTCCACCTCCTCCTCCTCCTCCTCCTCTTCCTCCTCGTCCTCCTCCCTCCTCCTCCTCCTCCTCCTCCTCCTCCTCCCCCCCTCCGCCCCCCCACCTCCTCCTCCTCCTCCTCCTCCTCCCCTCCTCCTCCACCTCCTCCTCCTACTCCTCCTCCCTCCTCCTCCTCTCCTCCTCCTCCTCCTCCTCCTCCTCCTCCACATCCTCCACCCTTTTTCTATTCCTCCTCCTCCTCCTCCTTTTCCTCCTCCTTTTCTTCCTTTTCCTCCTCCTCCTCCTCCTCCTCTTCCTCCTCCTCCTCCTTCTCCTCCTCCTCTCCGTCCTCCTTCCCCCACACGGGGGGAACCAGAAGAGAACTATTCCACAATGTTTCGGTCCTCTTCCCGAAGAAAATCCAGCCATGGCGACGAGGACGGTGAAGAACGAGCAACGGCATTGGCATGTTTCCGGATCTGACCCTCCTGCGGGAAGGAGCCCAAACATGCGATGTATTGTTTTCTTGCAGTGCGGGGCCCCCAGAAATCCGGGCCCTTTCCCCAAGCCAATTTTGCATCCCGAATCGTTTCTCGACAGTCCCGGGGCCCAGCGAAAACCCCCGGAGGCCGAAAACGGCCAAACCAACCTCCAGCCGCGATTGGCCTTTTACGACGCGAACATGCCTGGGAGGCAAGGGTCAAACGGCCCATGGCGCAGGCGCCCGCCAAGGAGGACGCCCCCCCTGTTGCCTGCAAAGGCGCGCGGGGCAGCGGACGTCACCGCGCGCGCAGCGCAACACCAGCCGCAGAGCGTAGCCTCGGCGACGGGGGGGCCATGGGGCACCTTGATGCGGGCCAACTAGAGCGGGACGATCGCGGGCCCGAAAGGGCCTCGGAGGCCGACGTTGAGGAAACACTGCCCAGATTGGAAAAATTCACATAATGTCCGAAATCTGAAGTTATGTTAATGTGTTTCCTCATTTTTTCGGATCCTGCGGCAAGCGACACCGCTCTCCTCATGGGCGAACGACATATCCATATACGTGGCGTTTCGCGGGCCACGCCCCTGAGTGTTCGGCGGATGCCTCGCGCGGAGTGTATATCTGCGACAACGTGTCCGCGGGATCGAGCCCCGAACTTCAGACCGCGACGGCGCGGATACGGATGTGCTCGCCGTTCGTGACGATGATGCTGATGACTGTGATGAAAATGGTGATGTTGATGGTGGTGATGATGCTGATGATGATGGTGGTGATGATGATGCTGATGTTAGTGGAATTGATGGTGACGGTGTATTTGATGATAGTGGTGATGGTGATGGTAACGCCGATGGTGATGGTGATGGTGATGGTGATGATGATGACGGTGATGATGATGAGAATGATGGTGATGGTAATGGTGATGGGCATGGCGACGGACCTGGTGATGGTGATGATGACACTGATTATGACTGCACGTAGTTTGCGGCGCTACGGTCCTACGTTATACCTCGAGAGAGCGCGCAGCTGCTGAGAGCACTGCGATGCGCCCAGGGCACAACATGGGCGTTCCAGGAGCGCGCACACGAAGCTTGCAGCAAAGCTTGAAGGAAAAAAGCCAGAGCGCTCGCCCCCTGGAGGTCTCCTCGGAGCGCCCCCCCCCCCCCCCCCCCGAGGCCGCAGCGCGCGATCGCCGAGGCAAGGAAGACGGAGCGGGGCACGGCGACAAGGTGGAGCAGGAGGGGCCAGGAAATACAACGGGCGCTCGGATCGGGGCCGTCCTCGCATCCAAAGACGCAGCCCCGCGGGCCGAGGATGCGCATCGCGCGGGCGGTGATCCATCAACCCGCGAGCGTCTTCATTACTGGCCAGAAGATGGCGGGGCGAGATTTCGCTCGGGCCCCCTTCAGCGCCTGCCAGCGGGGGCCGTGGGGGGGAGGGCCTGGGGTTCTGGATGCCAGGCACGGATTCGCTTCTGCAGCGCAGGGGGCATCCTGTCGGGGAATGTTGCGCGATCAGCAAACGAGGGCGTACTCCCTGAAGCCGCGGCTTCTCCTGGAGCTCGGCGGCGGGCGCGGCTGCGCGCGGGGCCTCTGCGGCAGCGCTCCGCCGCGGCGCAGCGGCAAACTTCGGGAGTGCGAAAGAGCGCGCGCGGCCACGCAGGAACTGAACGACGGCCCGCGGGTCGCGCCAGCAGGGCGGGGATCAGCGATCCCGAGGGCGGCGCGCGAGGGCGCCGCGGCACCACAAGCACTCTCCGAGCTCCGCGCGCCAGGAGGAACGCCGAGGGACAGCGATTAGCGCCGCGAGCCAGCGCCGGCGCAATTCAAACAGCAGCGGAAGACGGGGAGGGGCCAGGCGCCCATCCCCGTGGAGACCAGACGTCGCGACCCGCGAGCGCATCGGGCGGCGGCTTGAGCAGCTGATGAACGCGCACCGAGGCCCCTTTTGCAAGAGAAACCTCGGCGGGGGATCGGGGGATAGGACTGGGCGACATAGCCCAGGGCGGGGGCCGCGGATCCGCGCGCACGGGGGGGGGGGCGGGGGGGGGCGCCAGAGGCGGAAGTCCGCGCGACCCCCTCCCCCGCGCCGCGCCATTTCCGCAAGCAGGCCCCCCGCGGGGGGGCGTTCGCGGCCGCTGGGCCGATGAACACCCCCAGGCACTTCGTCTCGCCAGCGACGGGAAATTTCTGCCACCGCGGGGGAATCCGGCGCAGGACCGCGCCGATGTCTGCGATTACAGCGCCTGCGCGTCCAGTCCACAGTGGGACGAGGACATATTCGCGAAGGTGGATGCGGAGAGAAACGAGTCTCGAGGCGAAGGCGACGGGGGGCGCGCGGCGGGCGAGGCACGCAAGATTCGCCAAGGACGCCCCCATGTCGCGGGCGCAGCCACTCAGAAAAACTTCTCGCGAGCCCGACGGCGGCGGTCGCTCTAGAGTTTAGAGAACGAGTGATGGGATCCACGCCGAAGGCCCACGGGCCACCGCTGAGGGGGCATCCTTGCATGGCCCCTGAAAGCACGGGACTATCTCCTCGCCAATGCGCGCGCTGGCGAGGGCCAAGGGGCACATGCCCCCAGCGGCAGCGAGGCCCCCTGGCGGCAGCCCCATCCGCTCGAGCACCGCGAACAGCCACGTGCGATTCATACTGGGGAACGCGGCTTTGACGTCGAAGGCAACAAACAAGGGCATCCCTCAGTCAGCGTCTTCGCGCAAGCCCGCCGCCCTCGCGCGAACATCGGTCTCCGCTCTGGTCCGACAGAAACTTCTTCCGCGCGTGAACCCCCACTGGGTCTTGCGCACACGCTCCGCCGCTAACCTCCCCAGCGGGAAGTGCATCCATCGCCGCGGCGAAGTCCTTGGCGCCGCAACTTTGACGCGACAGCGGGCGCGCCTCAGATGCATCTCGCGCGCAGTCGATGGCATCGCCGATTTTGTCGCCCCCCACAAGGAAAACCAAAATGGCATTGGTTGATTGAGGGCGGCGGCGCAGGAGCCGCGCTAAAGAGCCTGAGAAATTGGATAAAGACCGTCAATGGTCTCAGGCACCGCCAGCCAGGCGCGGCGCGAAAGACGGTCGCGCCCTGGGGCAGAGTTGCTGCCGCGCTTGGAAGCCTCGCACAGAGCATCAAGAGAAGGGATGGGCAGGTACGCGACAGGCAGCGAGGGAAGGTGGAGTCGAGAAAAATCAACCTGCTCGCGCTAGACGGCCTCGCCAAAAAAGCTGGGGGGCACAGCGGCAGCGAAGAGCCGCAGCAATGTCCTCCGGGCAACGCGCCACCGGCGGGATGAAGGAGCCACCCTCTGCCGCGCTCGGGGTCTAGGCCTTCTGAAAATGCGCGACGCCATGAAAAATTGGGCGCTCTGAAAAGGGCGCCCAGAAGGCCGCGCGTCTGCGAGGCGCCCGCTGGACACGGCGCCGCGCCTCCACCGATAGCTGAGCCTAGACGCGGGCTGCGCAAGCAGCCGACTGTCACATGGCACGTTCAAACCATGCCTGGCCGCCGCGAACGACCTCGCTCTGAAACTCAGCTGGGGGGCGCAACTGCGGGGAGGGACTCGAGGCATCTAAACGCAGGCGGCCTAGCTCTGCGACGGCAGCGAGAAGACGCGCAGCGCGAAGGTCAGAGCGCCAGGCGGCGCGTGCAATGGCACGGAGCGCGAGGCGCCCACTCTCGAGCAAATTGACGCCACCCGTGCCCGGCGGGAGCCGCTGCAGCCAATTGCGGGCGAGCTCGGCAGTCATGGTCGCGATCTCCTTCGCGGCGTCGCAGCGTCGCAGCTCGGTCACGGCGCCGAGCTCTGCCACCTGAAGCACTTGAGGAGAGTTCTGCGCTGCTTGGAGCGAAAGGCAAAATCTGCGACGGGGCGCGCATCCTCGTCGGGAACCTCTCCGGCGTCGACGGCAAGCTCGACGACGGCATGGTCGCCGGGGAAGGCGCCGCAGCAGGGCGCGGCTTCCTGGACGACGTTGGGCCGGCACTTCAGGCGCGCAACGAGCGCAGGCAACAAGGCGATGAAGGACCTGTCGACGGCGGCGCCAACCTGGCGGCGCTGCGAGACAAGTGTTGGGACGTCGGTGGCCATCTCGATGACGTCGTTACGCGTGAGCTGGCGCCGGAAGACCTGCTCCTGCTGGAAGCGGCCCTCCTGCGCCTGCTCGCGCACTCCCGGTTGTGGGAAGATGTGGGACTGCCAGGGGTCGTCGCCCACGGCCACCAAAGTGCGCCAGCGGGGGTTCGCCAGGGCGCACTGAGCCTGTGACTGCCACTCCCTCTGCACCGGTTCCTTCTGGGGCTCCGAGAGCCCATCATCGTGGACGTTGAGGCCGCGGGCCTCCGCGTCCGATTCCGCGCCCAGGACGCGGGCGGGCGCGATCCCGCCAGAGGCCGCGACGTCGCCATTAGCAGCGGGCTGCCGAAAGAAAAGAGGGCGACCAGCAGCTCAATCTCGTCGAAGGAGTTCGCGCTCACCCCGCGCGAGCCTGAGCACAGGCACTGCGACGCCGCCCGCGCCTCTCGCGAGGCAGCCCGAGTAGCTGGCGACGCCTTAGGAAGAGTGCGGACCGCGGAGGGGGGCGCCCTCCAGCGAGCCGCGGCCCTCCTGGATAAAGGCGACGGCATACGATCGGAACGCGCTCTGAAGGCGGCGGAACTCGAGGCGGCATCGGCGCAGACTGCGGCAGAATAGTTTCCTTGCGCTCCAAAGGAAAACTCGCAGCGGCGCGCCGGACTTGGCGGCCCCCCACGGGGTCTGGCTACAGTTAAATAAACGCAGGTGAAGTGTCAATCGAGACTCAGGCCGACTCGAACATCTACTTGATAAGGCCCCCGTTGATGCCCATCTGCGCGGCTGCCGCTGGGCCCCAGTTGAGCTTGGACTGTTCGCAGGGGCCCTGCTGCTGTGCCTCCGCGATCGGCATCGCCCCCTGCTGCGCGATGCCCAGCTGGCGGAGGGTCTTGCATTCTCCGGCGGCAACTCATGGATCTTGCCAGCTCGCGCGAACCAACGCTAATCGACGCCAGTCAACGCGAATCAACGCTAAATTGACGCTAGTCGACGCAAGCCAGCGCTAAGTCGGCGCTATCTCATCGATTCCCAGACGCGAATCCTCGCTAGAAGCAGAATTAAGAAGGCATACCAGGCCCCCATGATTTGCTACCGAAACACTTCATGCCAGGGTACTCGCCCAACGATAGCGGCGAGCCGCATTGCGTGGAGCTCCTTTTTCCGGCTTGCTCTGGCGACTTGTCCGCGGAGACGAAGAGCGGGGCCTCGGCACCGACGCCGTTCTGGGCGCTGAAAAGGCACCACTGTCCGCCGACAAGCCAAAGAGC